CCATTGCCGTTTTCCACTTGATATCACTGCATTCATCCCTTCCCAAGAAGCTTCCACCCGATGGCCTCTTACTAGCTTCCCCACCTCTATGGATTTTCTCATTGGAACATGCATACTCTACACTCAGAATTTCCTACAGAAATACTGATAAATACCTTGAAAGTGTGATAACAAAAACCTAGAACACCCAAATCCATCAGTTACATAAATCATAACACATGTATACTGTAAGATGCCATGTAATCATTAAAAGGCTGAAAGAAAAACCCAGATATCCCACGCTGGGAAGACTCTAAGATCGCTAATTCAATGAAAATAGGAAGTGCAAGAAACAGATCCGTGTTGGACACATCTTTAATCCCAGCACTTGGGAGACAGAAACAGGAGGATCTTTGTAGACTGAAATTCAGCCTGGTCTACAGAGCAAGTTCCAGGCCAGCCAGGGCTATATAGTGAGACCATATTGGGGGGGGGGGGGGGGGGGGGGGGGGGGGGGGGAAAGAAGGGAGGGAGGAAAGGAGGAAGGGAGGTACAGGTGGCGTTTAATGGACAGTTTCCAGACAATGTTCTGGAGATAGATGGTGGTGACAGCTGTACAACAATGAAAATGGGGTTAATACCACAGAACCATGCAAAACAGTAAATCTTATGTTGTATAGATTTTACCTCAATTTTTAATCTTAAGACAACAGTCACGGAACAATATAGCTTCATGAGCTTATTTTTTGTACAAAAGGAATATGCACGTGTATACACAAACATTTCTGCTGATGTTTTCGTCCTGTATCTTACTCTATTTTACTTTATTTTATGATCTTTATACATCCCATAAGGCCCTAGGCTCCTGGGTGTCCTAATACTGGATCCCAGCTCTATTTCTGTATTACTTTCTTTTTTAAAAAATATTTATTATTTATTTTTATGTGTATGAGTATATTGCCTGCATGTAAGTGCATCCATGTCGTGCAGTACCCACGGAGGTCAGAAGAGGGCATTGGATCTCCTGGAACTGGAGTTATGGCTGCATGTGGGTGCCAGGAAGCAAACCCGGGTCCTCTGCAAGAGCAGCCAGTGCTCTTAACCACTGAGCCATCTCTCCAGCCCCAATTTAGTTACTTTTCTGCTGCTGTGATAAAACACCATGACCAAGGCCACTTGCTTACAGAAGGAAGATCTTATTTGGGCTTACAGTTCTAGAAGTCCATCATGGCAAGGAAGCATGGCAGCAGACAGCCAGAGCAGAAAACTAAACACTTACATCCTCAACAGGCACAGGAACCAGACAGAGACAAAATGGAACTAGGATAAGGCTAAGAACTCTCAAAGCCCACCCCCCAGTGACTTGCTTCCTCCAGCACAGCCACACCTCCTAAACCTCCGAAAACAGTGCCACCAATTGGGGACAAGTGTTCAACCACCACATCTACTGTCCAGCACACTCAGCCAGCATTCAGTTTCCTAGTTAGTACTACTTTCCCACCCCTCACCTAGCATTCACTTATTTCCCAGAACCACTTTCCCTCACCAACCAGCATTCATTACTTTTCAATACCACCTCCCCCTTCACAGAAGGCACTATTCAGAGCTTATTGTTTTAGAACTTGCTTTATCTGCAGCTTCCCCACCGATTTGTTAAGTCTCAGCAGACTCATCAAATTCCTAAATGTGTTCCAATATGAAAAAAAGATACAGGAAAAATATCTAATTGTCTTCGTTGTATATTCTCTCTCTCTCTCTCTCTCTCTCTCTCTCTCTCTCTCTCTCTCTCCCACACACACACAGATGAAAGGAGGGGGCATAAAACTCCTACTGCTGGAGTAGGTACAGCCTATGGCAACATGTGGAATTCTTACTTTCAAATATCCTAAAGTTTTAGGAACACAATGTGGCAACAGTATGGTATTCCTAAGATTGGGAAATGGCAATTTAGAGTAGTTACAACTGTAAAATCAACAAATGACTTCAGATGTTCTTCCTGCTGCTGTTTCAGTGTGGTCCTAAGAATAAGATCTGTACTGAGGCTTCTTTAAATGATTACCTGAAGAACACACTTGCAGAATTAAGCTCTGTTCTCCCATTATAGATTTCTGAGGTTGCTGAGTTTCTCTGCCAGAGAAGCTCTGAGTCTGAGTGCCCCTCTTGCTGCTACAGAAGAAGGGAGAGCTCAGTACCCACACTTAGCAACATAAAAGCTACAGAGTAGGTGAGCCAAGAGGCTCCCACAAAGGGAAAGGATATGAATTCTAAAATCAGAACAGCACAATCCCATAAAAAATAAATAAGCAAACAGTACATAAAAGTGAGCACAATCTTGATGGGTCATTTTCTCTAAACCTGCAGAGCACAGACCAATCAAAGGTGGGTTTTTTTCCTACCATCAAATTGTCATTGGCTGTCTTAAAAAGTAGGAGCTCAGGGCTGGGACTATAGCTCAGTAGAGTGCTTCCCTAGCATACACAAAGCCCTGGGTTTGTTCCCAGCACTGAATAAATCAGGCTTCATGGTAAGACACCTTTAATCTCGGGACTCCAGAAGCAGAAAAGAGAATGAGAAGTTCAAAGTTATGTTGGGCTACCTAGAGAGTTAGAGGCTTGCCTGGGCTACATGAAACTCTGACTTAAAAAAAAAAAAAAAAAAAAAAAAAAAACCGGAAGAAAAAACAGAAACAAAAAACCGACCTGTTTCCCTACCTCACAAGCAGCATAGCACTTTGAAAATTTAGGAAGACACTTTTATGAATTTCCTTCTTCATAATGGCACTAGCTCTCCAGGGACCAAGAAAAATCTTTAAGAATTGAAAATCACTTTTCCCATGGTTGTTCTTCAAGTCTTAGCTATTAAATCCTACTAAAACTCCCCATGAATAGAAAGCACACACTACAACATGCATAAACATTTTGAACTTGATCTTAGCCAACAGGCGGAGAAGCGATGCATAAACATTTTGAAGGCAATCAGCATCACCAAATCTTTCCCTCCAGGAAAAGAATGCCAATTTCACCTTTAAGTGTCCTTGATGAAACTGTACAGCTATGCTGGGGAAAAAAAAATCTGTCAGCTTCTTAAAAAGTTAAACATGTAATTACTGTATAATCTGCTAATTGCATATTCTTGGACATTTATTCCATAGAAAGGAAAAACTTACATTCTTACTAAAACTTGTCCATGAATGTTCACAGTAACTTTATTAATTTCCTAGAAATGCACCATCCAAATGCCCTTCTGGGGAAGCGTTATCGAACTGCAGTGAATAATAAACACTGTGTAATTCTACTTATCTGAGGTACTCAAGAGTTAAAATCAAAGAGGCTGAATGGTGGTAGAATGTTGGTTGCCAGAAGCTGCAGGGGAGGGGGAGTTTGAATGGTGTTCAATGTGTACAAGAGTTTCAGTTTGTAAGACAAAGAGAGTTCTAGGTATGGCTGATAGTAATGATTGTGTGTACCAATATGGATATACTCAAATGTAAAAAGGTGGGGGGCAGCCAGGCATGGTGACCACACTTGTAATCCCAGCACTTGATAAGTTAGGCAAGAGGATCACTTCAAGTTCAAGGCCAGCCTAGGTACAGCATTCGGGAGGCAGAGGCAGGCAGATCTCTGTGAGGTCAAGACCAGCCTGGTCTCCATAGTGAGTTCCAGGCCAGGTGTGGCTACAGGGAGACCCTGTCTCAAAAAGACCAAATGAGACTCAGGGTGAGACCTGGATGAGATCAGGGAAGGATAGCAGATGAAGACTTGAGGGTCCTGCAAGGAAACCATTATATTCTAGTCTCAGCTTATACCACACATCCATTCTTCTATGCATCTCACACATATTTTCAATTCTCTACGAACTTAATACTCAATAAATTTTTAAGACAAAAATGTCTATAATGAAGCTGTGCAAATTACTACTAACTCCTGATCATCTTCATTGGTCCCTGGAACTCACTGTCAAGTGTGCTTTACAAAAGCGCTTCTGCTGCATATCAAAGTAGCTTGGCTGTCTCATGGAAAAGCACGTTTTATTACAGTGAGCTGAATTAGATGCATTTTCCATGAAATACCATTTTTATTGCAAGAATAACAATCAAGTCCTTGAAACTGAATGCAAGCCCGTACTGTTCTTAACAAGCGACATTTTAACGAGTGACATTAATGACATGTGTTGACATTAATGACATGTGTTAACACCGAGGACCTGCCTGATGCAGAAAGCCAATACAAACCTGTTACAGTAACAGGTTCATTCAAATGCAAGATAGTCCCAGAAACTTTAATTTAATTAAGAAAAATCCAATGATTCAGCTTCAGATTTCATATCAAAAGGAGCCTTCAAGAAACCGTCACTTATGAACTTCTGGAGGAATAATAAAGAATACCCACAATTATCTGGAAAAGCTATTAAAATATTTCTCTTTAAACCACCCATCTTGTATTAAGACCAAATGTCCTTCATATAGTTCAATCAATCGTAACTGACTATGCTAAACAGGAGAATCCAGCTGCTTTTTCTATTAAGTCAGATATGGAAGGGATTTGTAAAATGTGTAAGAAGGCTACCCATCTAATTTTTCTGTTTAGAATACATTATTTTCATTAAAATGTGTTATGTATGCTATGGGTATTTAATGAATAAATATTTCAGACGTCCACTTTCATTTCTAAAACAACAAATGCCTTAATCTGGCCATCCTACGCTAAACCCAGTGGGGTCCTGGGACCCTAGTCTGTTTCCTACGGTAACAGGAGTTACAACTCCTACGTGCCCAGCTCCGGAACAGCATCGGCCCTCACGCCGCTAGGCCGCACGGGAACCTCAACAGGACCTAGAGCGCCTGTCCCGGGCCGCGGGCTTTGGGGGGCGCATGTCCGGACGGGCCGCGGGCCAGAAAGCCAGGCCCCGAGGCTCCGCGAGGGAGGCCGCGGGGTGGCGAAGGCAACCGGCCCTCTCTGCGAGGCCGCGTGAGGCTGCAGGAGCTGCGGCCGACGTGGCCTGCTGTGCGGGTTGGCCCGTACCTGTTGGTCATTCCGGCCGCCACGCCCAGCATCTCCGCGGTCCACGCCGGGTCCCTCAGCGCCTCAGTGCCGCGCCGCTCCAGCCGCGCCCTCCTCTCTCGCTGCCACCGCGGGCTGCAAACCAGCGGGCGGACCCCAGGCAGGAAGGGGAGGCGGGGCGAGGTGGGCCGGGAGCCTCCTGCCCGCGGGAGGCGGGCAAATAGCGGTGTTAACCGCGCTCGAGCGAGCGCGGGGAGGAGTCTGGGTTGGGGCCGGGGGCGGTGCTAAACCCAGCGAGGGGAGGGATGCGGGCGAGCAAAGACTCTGTGGGGGGCGGAGGCAGAGGCGGGGCGAAGCTCAGCGAGGGGCGGGGCGAAGTCCTGCGAGGAGGAGACGGAGCAGGGGGAGTGGCTAGGCTCTGCGCGGGCGGGGACCCGGGGCGTTGGCAAAGCTCAGCTAGGGGTGGTGAGGGCGGGGCAGGGCTCAGTGTCGAGAGGGGAGGGGCTTCGCGTTGAGGCGGGGGTGGGGAACCACTCAGCAACGGGAGGCGGCGGGGATGCAGTGTAGACTTGGCGAGGGCGGAAGTTGGGGCGGGGAATCCGGAACTGAGGAAGAAGCTCTAGACTCTTGTCATCTCCCGGGGGAGCTGAGGGTCCCGCCCCCATTGTCCCCCTGGCCTACTCCCAGGCCTCGCAGTTCGGCCTTAACCTCCATGCGGCACGTCCGGGCCTCCGCTCTGTCCAGAACGGAGGCCGGAGTGTGTCCGAGAGTTCCCTGGAGAGTCCTTACAGACGCGGAGCTTCCCAGGCAGCGGTCGCTCTTAAGCAGGGCAGGGTGTGGAAGGCCCAAGGATGGACCAGGGTATCCTTAGCTAGGGACCCTCTGATTGACCTGGGTCGGTGGGCCGCGCAGCTCAAGACCGTAGCTTTACGGAGTTCTGCCCGCCCTTTGGAGATCGGGAGGAGACTATGGGAATGGGGATGTCGTGCAAAGTCCTCTCCCAGGGTGAGAGCCTCACTGGATTGGCCTGCCGGAGCTGGAGTTTAGGGTGCTCTAAGAATTGCCCTTTCCTGCCGCCGGGGTAATGGCTCAGGGTAAAGATCCTTGCCCAGCCTGACCATCAGAGCCCCGAACCCCTCTGACCATGGCACACGTACCCACACACATACACAAATAAACGTAACAAATTTTTTTAATGTTTAAAGATTTTTCCCTCTGCTTCCAAAGGAAAAAGAAATTTTACTGTCATTTTGGAACAGTTGGCTAAAATCTGGCTGCCTCTTGGTCCTCAATTAGTGCTTTCCTCATAGTTACGTTGTCTGAAATGTGCTTTCCTGGTGAGCCTGCTTCTGTGGTTGACCAATGTCTGCCACTATGGAAACCTGGAAAATTACCTATTACTCTAGAATGTGGGATTGATGGAATGTCTTACTGCTCAACTCTGCAGTTTCTCAGGATAAAATAGAATGTCAGTTGTTCTGGCTGAACACATCTTCCCAAATCTGTTTTTCGGTTTTAGCTATTGTGAATAGTTTTGTAAGAATCTAGAACATATTTCCTGTTTCCGTATATATGAAACTGATATAAACACATATCTTGGGGTAGTAGGAAAGAAGTCAAACTACTCAATGTGCAATGTATACTTGTGGGAGTGTCCTTATGTAGCACAGTATCGGGTAAAATGATTATATACAATGAAGAAAAAGTCTTTGCACTGATGGGACTGAAGAGATGATCATAATGCCCCACATGGGGCTCGTCTTGCCCCATGTGCCTGCGGGGCTGTAGTATGCTGCCCACTATGGCCGGTACGCTGGATAGCATCAGTTGTCAATTTGACAACCTGAGTAGAGGGAACCTCAATTAAAGAATTTCTCCCGTAGGATTGGCCTGTGGCCATATCTGAGGGGCATTTTCTTGAGTGATATGGGAGAGCCCAGCCCACTGCAGGCAGAGCCAACACTGGTCCTATGTTGTATAAGAAAGCAGACTGATGGAGCTGGAGAGATGGCTCATCAGTTAAGAGTACTGAGTGTTCTTGCAGAAGACTGGGGTTTGAATCCCAGCACCCACATGACCACTAACAACTATCTGTAACTCTAGTTCCAGGGGATCCGATGCCCTCTTCTGTCCTCTGTGAGCATTGCACAACATGGGTGCACTTGTGTACATGCACACAATACATGCTTAGCAAAAAATAAAAATAATGCAAAAAAATTTTTATTTTGAGGAAAAAAAAAGCTAACTGAGCATGGGCCAGGGATGCAAGCCAGTAAGCAGCATACCTCCATGGTCTATTCCATTTCCTTCCCTGAGTACCTGTCTTGGCTTCCCTTGATGATGGACTGTGAGCTATAAAACCAAATAAACCCTTTCCTCCCCAAGTTGGTTTTGGTCAGTATTTTATCACAGCAACAGAAAGAAACTGGAAGAGCCCAAAAAGCAGTTTGGCAGGGAGAAATGAACTTTCTTCATTTGAACGTGGGAAGGACGCTCAGGGTCCACAGTTTAGCTGGGATCACTGACTGCACAAAAGGAAAAGACTCTCTGCAGGGAAGAGATCCTTAGTATACGACCTGAAGAACCAGGAAGTCAGGCTTCAGAAAGTCAGGCTACTCCATGATATTAACTACTCTTGAAGATTACTTGGCTATGCAGCACAACTTCACAGTCTCCTGAAGGAGAGAGAATTTTACCTTGAGACAATAAAGTGTTTGCTTCTCAGTGGTTGGATCATAGGCAAACAGTATATGGCACAAAATACAACACGGTGAACAGCCCCAAGGAGGAGGGGAGAGGATTCCCAGGCACAGGCAAGAAAAGACTTGGCAAGTAAGAAAAAAAGTAATGGTAGTCAAGATGGCGGTAGTGGCTGTAGCTGTGTGGACTTATATCTAGGCCTTCTATTTACTGCACTGATGCACATTCCTGTTCTTGTGCCAGACTATATGGCACTGTACTATAACTTGAAAACAGGTATGGCAAAACTTTCAGGATTATTGTTTTTGCTTATTTTGCTTTGGCTAGCAGGTGTTGATGCAGAAGCACAGCTCTCACCTCAAAGGGGATAAGAATTTATTCTGGAGCCAAATATGAGTGACCATGGCCCAAGAATACAGATTCAAGTTACCCTAAATTCCACATTCCAACACGAAATCAATTTCATGAAGTTTTTATAGCAACATAACAAAGAAAATTCATAAATCAAGACACTTTTCAACTCATGGAAACATTAAGTAGGTAGCTACAGCAAAAGAGAAATCTCAGCTATAGGCCTCAGATGCTATCTGATGACGCTCAGCCTTTTGGTTGATGGGAGCTAGGGCTTTGTTAATTTAATATGTTCCAAAAGGTTTTTTATCAGTTAGTCACAGTATATTGTCAGAAACAGAGGTGGGCTAGAATGGCTCCTAGTCATGGGGCTAAGCATAACACAAGACAAAATGTAATTAGGCTTTGGACCTGCAACATTACAAACTCTCCACAATCAGTGAAGTTCTCATCCAATGATCAGTCTTTGCAGATGGTTCAGTTTCAAGATGCAGTTTTTTGGGACCTTTTTTTCATCCATACTGGTTTCATTTTTGGTTGGGAGGGATTTTTTGGCAGGGGGAGGGGTTGGGGTGTGTGTGTGTGTGTGTGTGTGTGTGTGTGTGTGTGTTGCTTTCATATGAATTTTTCCCATATTGAATTTTTGTGAATTTCATATCTATATGAATTTTGAGTATATTTTTCCTATTTCTGTGAATAATGGTCCTGGAATTTGAATGAGGATTGTATTAATGCTATAAATTATTTTTGGTAGGAAAACCATTTTCACAGTATTAATTCTTCTAAGCCATGAGCATGAGAGGTCTTTCCACCTTCCAGTGTCTTCTTCAGTTTCCTTCTTCAGTTTAAATTTTTCACTGTAGGGCTGGCAAGATGATGCGGCAGGTAAACATGCTTGCCACCAAACCAAATGACCTGAGTTCAATCCCTGGGACTCATGTAGTAGGAGAAGAGAAACACTTCTGCAAGTTGGCCTCTGACCTCTACAATTATACTATGGTGCAAGTGCACACACACACACACACACACACACACACACACACTTAAGATTAAAAGAAATTTTTATGTGTATGAGTGTATTATCTGCATGTATCTAAGTGCACCTATGTCATAGACCCACAGAGGTCAGAAGAGGGCATCTGATCCCCTGGAACTGGAGTTGTAGATAGTCATTAGCCTCCATGTGGGTGCTTCTTGACCCTGCCTCTCCAGTTCTCAGAATATAAAGGTATGTGCTATCAGGCCTGGCTTTTACTTTTTATTGAAGGTATTGTGAATGGGACTGTTTCCTTGATTTCTTTCTCATTATACTTGTTATTTGGTGTATATATATATAAAAGGCTACTGATTTTTCTATGTTAATTTTGTATCCTGCCACTTTGATAAAAGTATCAGCTCTAAGAGTCTTCTGGTAGAGTCTTTAGGGTCTTGTGTATGTCATCTGTGTAGGGATCCTCTGACTTGTTCCTTTCCTAATTGTATGCCTGTAATTTCCTTCCATTGTCTTATTCTTCTGCATAAGACTTCAAGCACTATATTGAATAGGAGTTGAAACAGTGAATATCCTCATCTTTTTCCTGATCTTAGGGCAAACACTTTAAGTTTTTCTCCACTTAACATGATGCTATCTGTAGATTCATCATGTATAATTTTTTTTTTTTTTTTTTTGGTCTTTTTGAGACAAAGTTTCTCTGTAGCCCCAGCTGGCCTGGAACTCACTACGTAGACCAGGCTGGCCTCAAACTCACAGAGATCTGCCCGCCTCTGCCTCCCTGGGAGTAAAGGGGAGCGCCACCATGCCCAGGAGTAAAGGCATGTGCCACCACACCCAGCTTGTATAATCTTTATTATGCTGAGATATGTTTCTTTTATTCCTAGTATCTTCAGGGGTTTCATCTTGAAGAGCTATTGGAGTTTGTCAAAAGTGTTTTCTGTATCTATTGAGATGATCATGTGATTTCTGTCCTTAAGTCCATTTATGTGATGCATTTCATTTATTGATTTGCATGTATTAGCCCATTCTGTCATCTCTGTAATGAAACAAGCTTCATCATGGTGAATGAGCTTTTAAATATGTTCCTATATTTGGTTTGTAAGTATTTTAGTGAGGATTTTACATTAATGTTCATCATGAAGAATGATCTACATAATTTTCCTTTTTTTGTTATGTGTTTATTGAGTTT